ATGAGGGAGGAAGACATACCACTAGCGGCTGTAAAAACACCATGGGGCATGTACGAGTGGGTGGTTATGCCAATGGGGCTATGCAATGCTCCTGCGACACATCAGGCCCGTTGTGAAGAAGCTCTAGGGGATTTGATCGGGAAGATATGTGTGGTATACATAGATGATATAGTCATTTTTTCAGATACAGTGGAGGAACACGAAAAGCATTTGAGGGAAGTCCTGACGCGCCTCAAACAAGCCAACTTATATTGCTCATCCCGCAAAAGTAAACTATTTAGGCGCAAGATATCCTTTCTTGGTCACGAGATCAGTGAGGATGGCATCAGGCCTGACCCAATTCAAGTAGACAAGATAACCTCCTGGAGGAGCCCTAAATCACCTAAAGGACTGAACTCTTTTCTAGGCACGGTACAATGGCTGAAAAAATTTGTTGATGGACTAGGCCAATATGTTGCTACGCTTGCACCGCTAACAAGCTCGAAGAAGAATCCGGGAGACTATCGGTGGGGTACAAAGGAAGAAGCTGCTTTTGAAAACATTAAAAGGTTGATAACGACTCTTCCTGTACTGAAGAAAATAGATTATGACTCCGAAGATCCATTGTGGCTTTTCTCAGATGCTAGCGGATACGGTTTGGGTGTGGCTCTATTTCAAGGCAAGAATTGGGATACGTCTTTACCGATTGCATACGAAAGTCGAACGATGTCACCAGCGGAACGCAACTACCCAGTCCATGAACAAGAACTTTTAGCAGTCATCAACGCCTTACAAAAGTGGAAGTTGTTGCTATTAGGGTTAAAAATCAATGTTATGTCGGATCATCATAGCTTGGTGCACATCCTGAAACAGCGGAACTTGAGCAGACGTCAAGCAAGGTGGCTCGAGACGCTCGCAGACTTCGATTTGGACTTTAAGTACCTCAAGGGACCCGATAACTCTGTCGCGGATGCACTGTCACGAAGAGAAGAAGTTGCCGCAATGGAGATCAAAGCCGAAATAGATGAAAACACCCGTCAGATGATAGTGCTTGGTTACAAATCCGACCCTTTCTGTTCCAAGTTGTCCTTGACACTACCGCTACGGGACGACAGTCTGATGATTGACAAACTCATGTACATTGAGGGACGTTTGGTCATTCCCAACATCAAGCAACTGCGACAGGACCTCATATCTCGTGTACATAGCACGCTCGGTCATCTAGGAATGGTCAAGACTGTTGAGCAGCTTCGGAAAGAATTCTTTTGGCCGGGATTGACCACTGACGTGAAAACATTTGTGTCAAGTTGTGACAGTTGTCAACGCAACAAGGCGAGAACAACATTAATATCTGGACGCTTACAAACCACCGAAGTTCCTCATGCACCACTCGAACACATTAGCCTAGACTTTGTTGGCCCTTTCCCGAAAGTCAATGGTCTTGACATGGTACTCTCATGCACATGCCGCTTATCAGGGTTTGTCCGACTAATACCGGTTTCACAAAAAGACTCGGCTGAGAAAACTGCACGGCGTCTATTCCATTCGTGGCTATCTATCTTCGGGGCACCATCATCCATGATCGGCGACAGGGATAAGACTTGGATATCGCGATTCTGGCAACACCTTAACGAGCGCCTCAACATCAAGGTCAAACTTTCTACCTCCTATCACCCGCAAACAGATGGACGTAGCGAGCGGTCTAACAAGACTCTGGGTCAGATTTTACGTCATCTAGCGGCATCCCGGCACACCAAATGGTTAGAGTCATTACCTGCGGTAGAGTTTGCAATCAATTCGGCCATGAACTCTTCAACCGGAATCAGCCCTTTTGAATTTGTTTTTGCCCGACAGCCTCGTCTTTTTCCAACAAATTTGGGTCAGAAGATTCAAGAAAGTGACGCGCATCGCTGGATCGAAAAAAGAAGAGCTGATTGGGCAACCTGGAGAGACAAGCTTTGGGCGAGTCGTGTGGATCAAGCACTTCAGTACAACAAAAGAAGAAAAGGAACAGGTCAATTAGAATTGGGTGACTGGGTATTGGTGGACAGTCAGGATCGACAGCAGATCGTTGGTGGGAAAGGTCGTACGGTATCAAAATTGAGAGCACGCTTTGACGGACCTTACAAAATCAAGACGGTTATGAACAATGGACAAAATTATGAACTTGAACTGGCGGAAGGAGACAGAACCCACCCGATCTTTCATATTTCAAAGCTCAAACCATACATGTGGAGGGATGAAGAAGTCTAGTATAGGACTAGAGTCCAAAAGTAAGTGACCCTCCTTAGTATGCGCACCGCCTCTACCTCTACACCGTTGTAAAAGCAATTCCACGGCCACTCTGTGAGCACATCTTTGGACCGCTTCTTTGTCATCAACAGCAGGAAGCGCGACGACGGCTACGAACACAATCATGTCAAGAGTCACGAATTCATCAAATTCAGTCTTTAGAATTTTTTTTCTTCTTCTTCAGCTGGTTACGTTTTTCCTTTTTCTTTTCCTTTTTCTTTCTGATTTTGTAGTGTTTTGAATAATTTTTTTTCTTTCTGGGGCGAGTTATGCCATTGGTTTGCTTACATCACATCACAATTCACAGGAACATATTGGGAGGATTTCTTTTTCTTTTTCTTTTGGTGCTTTCTTTTCATTTTTCTTTCTTTCTCGATTCATAGAGGAATTTTTTTTAGAGGGGGAGGGTGTAAGGG